GTTCTTGGCCTCATGTTCATGTTCAAAACCTCCCCCACTAGAGAACTTCCCTAAAGCTATGCATTCCCTTCATTTCTAATTCCCTTGCATGAAAAATTCAGAAAAAGCTTTTCAGTGAAGTGTTTCTACAAATATGTCCTCTTACTAGGGTTATTGGACCAGCCAGAAAGCTCTTAATATAGGTTTTTGGTTTTTTAATTTCAGTGTAATTTTAAAAAGAGAGAGACATGAACTGTAGTTTATTTGGCTATCTGAAGGGAGTTGGGGGTGGGGTGCTAAGCCTTAGTAAACTGAAAAGCATCAGTTGAGGTTCTGGGTCTTAAATGAGAGGTGACAAATCTTATAGTATTTCTCAGTCTCTGGAATTAGTCATTTCTCTCTCCCTTGCTATACCCTATTCTTACAGCAGTATACTTGGTTTCACGAGGACCCTGAATAAAACTCTCCCCTCCCACAGAGCTTCTCCAGCATCAGGGTACCACATACAGTTCTCGACAGCAAGTAGGAGTGTGACAGAAACCAATTCAGCTTTAAATGGAAGAGGGGGAGACACACAGTGACCTCACTTTTCTCCCAGACACTAAGGAATCTTGATTTTTGTCCTTGAACACCTCTTTCTTTGATTCAAGGGCACCGCACCCCCATCAGAGTACAGTGTCTCTAGAAAAAGAGTAGATATGAATGCTTTCAAGGTCTCATTCATACACACATGGGCAGCTCCCTGAGCCTCCAGTAATCCACCCTGTGAGCTTGAAGCCATGCTTTCTTGCCAAAACTACCTTAGCTTTCCTTTCTCTGAGGCATCTATCCAGAGCCCAGTGGTCCCCAAGCCTTCTTACTCACAGGGATGAGCTTTCCCAGAATGAGACTGCTCTGTGATCTCCAGTGTGGGTTCCAAAGCCCCATTCTGATCCTCTCCTCTATCCCTGTATGGTGTATCAACCAAAGAGAGCAAAGAGACAGGATCTGCCAAAGCTAACACCTGTAAAGTGCTAAATGACACCTAATGAGGGTACCTGGCCACTTAGAATTCATCACTGCTAAGTTATACTCTGTAAGAACAATGCATTCTTCCTTCTATGAACATTGAGAGCATGTACCCTCAGAGCCATCTCTGAAGATAAAGACAGCAATAAATCCCAACAGCCAGTACTTCCAAAGTAGTTAGGAAGGGTTAGGTCTAACCATCTCTACACTTTCAGCAATAGATGGCTGACTCTTGTTTTTGTTAGCATGTCTTAGATTCTGGCTATCACTGAAAGCAGCTTATTCCATGTCTCTTCTTTCAAAACTCAGATTCCAAAAGTATTATTGAGGCCTTGAACTTACACTGGAGACATCCTTCCAATGTTTGGTTCTGATGATGAAGCAGCAGCAAAAGCAAATAAAGTGGCTATTTTTCTTGGTGAAGCCTCAAAGAACTATATCCTTTCTCTTCCTCTCTTTCCTGAATGTGCTCTCCCATTCTTTCATCTTCTAAAAGTGTAAGGATTGCTTGAGTAGAGTCAACAGGTGAAGCTAGCAAAAAGAAACAGAACCTGGGCTCACTAATAATAGTTTGTTGCTCTCCTTATTTCAGGCAACTCCAATCTGAAGCAAATCTAGAAACAACCCCTCTAGATATCCCTTCATAAGGTTTTAGGCTGTGCTTTCCAAAGGGAGGAGGGTGCAGAAGTTTGAACAGGCAGTCTGTAGCTACTGGGAAATTGGAGTAAGCTCATGGAGAAGAGGTGTCACTTTATTTCTGAGTTTGCATGCTGCCCCCTTCTGGCTTATATTCCCAGGCTTCTCAGCACATCGAACATGTTTATTTCAATCTTACACCTGTGTGTGGTGTACCAGGGAACACATAAAATATTGAAATTATTGAAAATATTCAGGGCATCTAATCAAATGTATATCCTTGAGGCTAACCAGAAGAAATAGACTCATTTTCTCTTCAGCTCCCGGTTCTCATTTGAGGCTGCCCACCATCACAGAATCTCACTTCACATTCTTGCTTTGTGAAACATCTCATTCTCCACCCTCTTAATTCCCACATAGCTCTGGGACTCATCTCTACAAATTAAGGCTCCACCAAGGGCTGGTTCTGTTGATGTACTGGACAGCCAAGGGGATTTTCCTACTAGAAGTGGTGGCAGTGGTCTAAGAACCACATTTTAAAAGGCTGATACATGATCAGGTTTGCCTTTACACATTATTAAGTCCATGTGTACAATTCTTAGAGACAAGAGAGTTATGTGATAGGAGGAGAAGCAGGTAATTTAAGGAACAGATGCCACCATAGATCAAATTTATAATTGCATGTCTTCCTCTTCTAAGCAATTCATCTTACATGCTGGTCCTTTGTGAGACTTGTCAGAATCCCAATCCTGGGCACATTTTCTAGGGTTGAAATAATTCATTACTGGTCTCCTCACTGCTTACAGGAGTCTAACTCTGAGCTCTTGCCTGGCACTTGGTATATATACTGTCCCAGCACTGGAGCTCAAATGTGGCTGGCCCAGTCTGTAGTGCTTGGGAGGCTGAAGTCTCTCATAGTTTGCCCTTGACCCAGCCAGGCCAGTTATCTCATATAAACAGAACCCAGGACTCAACTTGGGATGGAGTGCCTTTCTCTTGAATCAGAAGAGAGCTAATGTAGCAGTCTTTTAAAATATTGAAAGGCCCATGATTTGTTTAAATTATACAGTATGTAGTTTGAAGCAATCTAGAGCTCTGGCTATCTATTGTGAGGCTTAAAGAGAATGAGCACTGGAGTACTTCTCTCTCTCTCTCTCTCTCTCTCTCTATATATATATATATATATATATATGTATATATATATATATATATATGATAGCATAAAACAGTAAGTAATTAAAACAGTGTGTACAGACACAGACACACACACAAAAACACACACACACAAACACACACACATATATATACATATACATATACATATACATATATACCCTTGCCTTTATCCAGATACATGCATATATTTTTAAAGCCACAAAGGGATCAGCCTATACAAAGTGAACGTATTCAGATTTTCACTTAATAAATACCAACACACCCAGCATGGCTTTAGAGATGAACTGTAAGAAGAAATGAGTTCTGCAAAAAGACAAATGATCATAATAAAACTACCCAGGCTTTCAGGATGGCTCAGCTGTGCCAGTTTGATGACCTGAATTTTAGCTCAAGATCCCACTGTGAAAGGACAGAAGTGACTCCCTAGAGTTTTCCTCTAATCTTCACATATGCAGCCCTCCACACACACCCACACTAGTAGTAGTAATAAGTAATAATAATAAACTATTTTAACTGCAAAAGACTTAAATTGGTCCAGTTACATGTGTTGACTAGTGAACATTTACACTCAGTTTCTCTGATGATGAAAAATGCAAGACATATTGACCTATAGCTCTAACGTCTTCCTTTTTAAACATAGTATTTACTTAAGCACATTTACTGCTTGTTATGACTTTAAAAAAAAACCCTGTGTGATCATTTACTTTAGTCAAGGGGCAAAAATGTGATATTTTCCTATCTCCATGGTAGAGCAGCACATGCATTCTTTTTAGTGACGAAAGAACACATTCATCTGATTAAAAGAAAATGGGTCAACTTAAATTCTCCATGGTGATATGCAAAGTGAATAGCTTACTTACAACTTTCTTATCTTGCTTGGCCAGTCACATGATTTGGGATAAGGACAGTGCTGAAACTTAGGTACTATGGAGGGCTTAGCCAACTATGAACTATCAATGAATGGGTTACCACTACCAGGAAGTATTAGGAGCTGGCTGGCAGAAAGGCTGTTCAGATACTGCATCTGGTTTCCCGCACCTACATATCATCCTGAGGAGCCCTCTACTCTGTATGTTCCCCTCACCAGGAAAAGCACTCCTTACAGAGGATAAGGGCCGGGAATATCATCCCTTGAGGACTGCCCCAAACAGGACCAATCCTTTATCAGAGTTACTTAGTCCCTTTGGCTTTTCCAGGAAGATGGAACTGATTAAGCAATGTTAATTTAATCATAAGTAATCAACATGGGAAAAATTACACAACCAACTTCGAAATTGTGAATCAAAGATGGCGAAACCCCAGGAAAATAGCTGTATTGTCACGTACCCTGCCCACACAAAATTTTCACCTCAAAAATAAATAGGGAGATATCTGTAAGATGGACGATAAAATAAAACAGAACTACGAGTTGACATTGCCTGAAAATGGTTACATTTAGTGCAAAGTTCTCCAATTCCTATTTTGTAAATATGCAGTCCAGGCTGGCCTGGGACTCACAATCCTCCTGCCTCAGCCTCTTGAGTGCTGGAATCAATTCGTATGTTTTTTTAAACTAATTTGAGAGAGTTTGGAACTCATCCTGTCGAGGATTCTGAAAGACAAATATGTTTTTAATTCATCAATGAAGGTAAGAATAAGACAACTACGTTTTACGTCTTCAAATTGCTGCCTTTCATCTTTCCTTTTCTCCTTCAGACAATCTACAGACACAGTGATATTTCAGCCGTGAGGCTATATCCACTTGGCCACATGCTTAAGACCATGCTCAAGTCTGCTTTGGCTTCCTGATCCTACAGGGAGCACACTAATGTGGTAGGTAGGAGGACAATATTCAAAACCTGCTTTCTAAACCATTACATGAGGCTTGACGTGCGATGGGTCATCATTGCAATCGAAATCATCAAGGGGTACCCGCACGACAATATGTAGCTACTGGTGTTATTTATTTAAAAAGAAAGATAGCAGTGGAGTTTAAAGGTCTCTGCTGTTCACCTACTCAGAATCCAATAGACTAATCCACCTGGTGGCCCCAGCCACACAGAAGCAAGGAACCTAACTACCCAGGAGAACTCAGGAGGGCTTTCACTCCTAGCTTCTCTGAGTACCAGCCATACTGTCAGACCTGAATCCACTTTATTTGCCTTGGGAAGGCAAAAGGTAGAAACCTGTGGGCGTCAGATCAGTCGTGACAAGCCACGTACCTGCAATGACGGGATGGAAGCCTCCTCCTGGGGTACCTCGTGTGTCTCCTTGCTGCTCTCCTCTGTGTGAATGACACGATCACAGCGGGGTGTGCACAGGATCACCCGGGCAGCCTCAGCCTGGTTCCGCAGGAGGCCGGGGAAGCAGCGCGGGTGTGGGGAGCAAGCCAAGCCTAGCGAGCGGAGCGCGCAGAGGGCGGAGCGCGTCCGGCCGCGCCTGCAGATGTGGAAGGAGCTGGAGACAGCACTGAATCCTCTGGCGCTGCGCTGCGTGGGGATATTATCACAGGCTGGGATTTCTATTGGCTCGGAACACCAAACAAATCACACCAGCCACCCCCTCCTTCTCAGCTTCACTCAGCTCTCGCTTCTCATCTAACATTGCAGTCACACACACACTTCAATCTCCCTGTTTCTCTCTTCTTCCTTGCAGACTGAGGATTTACAACCTTGTGGGAAGCTCTTCACATTTTGTTTATCAGACTTTCAATGTAAAGCTTGTCATGTAGAGATATCCACCGTCCTCCTAACCCGCAAAGCCTACACATGCCTTCAGATCTTCCTCTTTAGGATGGACTTAAAATATGAAGAATGTAGAAACACACACACACACACACACACACACACACACACACACACGAGCATACGTGCACATAGAACCAGGCTCTTTTTGTTTTGAATAACTGAGGCTGGTAAAATAAAGACAAACTGAACCCCATGGCCAGAAGAGAGTTTAACTAATAATAATAATTTTTAATGCGCTCCGTGCCAAATATCCAACGTTTGCATTTTTTTCTCTTCCACATACTGCAATAGCCGTCATTATTCCTTAATTTTTTTTTTTTTTTTTTTGTATGCAGCGATCTCTGATACGAATCAGCATCCAGAGAACATAGACCAATTCTTGCATACTTGGGCTGGGCATGCGAGAACCAGCTCGAGTGATACTCCCTGGATGCTGGCTTTCTTACTGCAGGATTCTTTGGCTCCCAAGACCTCTTCAGCACAGAAGTTCCAAGTGAGTCTACTGACAAAGGCATCTGGGTGAAGAGTTGTCATTTGCGTATGTGCACAGAAAGAACCCTTTGACCCTCCTCAATGGGGAATAGGCCCAAGAAAGACCTGAAACCTTAGGAACTGAGCTGTGAGAATTGAAATAAAATAAGGCATTACCATATTTTATAAAGCAGAGCCTCCTATGGCCTTTCTTCCCCAATAAGCCTCACTGATGCTCATGGAAATTTGAATGACAGTTTTCTCAGTAGAAGCTGACACTTCTGCAACCACGGAGCTCTGTTTGATTTCTGACATCACAGTTTCTTTCCCAGAACTGTCTGCTTTTTTTATACCTTACTGAAATTTGACAGTCTGGCTTCAGGCTATTCAGAGCACATATCACTTCAAAATCATAGGAAATAATACATTTTTGAAACTTGTTACCAACAAACATCTTACCTGCTTTCTTTCACATTTAGACACATTCAAATAATCCTGAAAAGGCTGTTTTTCAGAATGGGTCAACCTAGAATCAGCTGAGAATTCCTAGATGTTACAGTGGAAGAAACAGAAGAATAAAGTGTCTTGCAAGCACAGCTGGAAGATGAAGTGACCAGCCTCCCTACTGTTATCTCTTCCCATATTAACTATGCAAATCAAAGGAAGCAGAAGGGTTTATACAGCCAATTGTGGCCACTATCTACATTTGCCCAGAAGAGCTAACAACATGGATTCAATCATCTAACCTGATAATCATCCTACACATTGTTTCAGAGCTAGTCATATATGCAAAAAGTTTTTCAATCCCTTGTTTTAGAACTGCTTTTCAGAATGAATACAAATAGGAATCACCCTCAAGTAATGACAAAGCAACAGCATAATAATAACCAATAAAACAAGTATTTTTTTGTTTTCTTTTTACTTTGCTTATTATATTCAGGGCTCATTATAGCTTTTCATATCACTAGAGGGACAGTGTAGTGGAGTCATGAATAATGGAAAGGCACAGATAATGTACCTATATGGTTAGAATTTGGAAGGCCAAGGCAGGAGGACCTTGAGTCTGAGGCTGCCTGGGCTATATATCAAAACCTTGCTACTCTCTGTCCAAACAGGAAAAAAAAAAGAAAGAAAGAAAGAAAGAAAAGAAAGAAGAAAAAAAGAAAAATGAAGGGAAAGGGGGAGGAAGGAAAGAAGAGGGAGAAGGGAAGACAGGAGGAAGCAAGAGAGGAAAAGAAAAACACAGATTAATGTTAAGTATCATTTCAAGTAATAATTCAAATTGCCCTTACTTCCAGTTAATGAAGAGCAAAACTAGATGATTTAAGGGACACTGCTTGTGCCTAATCAGTTATGCAATTAGTGAAAAATAAATCAGTATATATTCTCTACTCTTCTGATCATTTACTACTACAAAAGACAGTTTTTTCCCTAAGATAATCCCCATATGCCACAGTTCATTAAGCCTTAATTGTTGCAAATGGCATTGACATGAACAAAAATAAAATGCTTGCATCTTGGTAGAAACAATAATGAAGTAGACTACAGTGCAAATTAGTTGCTAAGCACTCCTGTTTTATTTTCTACTCCACTTTGTTGTCACCCCCTTTACTTCCATATGCTGTAAAAAAAAAAAAAAAAAAAAAAAAAAAAAAAAAAACCAGGAGGCATTCAAAACTTGGAGTGTTTCCAAGAGAGTTGCTGATAAGAATGTGATTATGCATATTACAACTGCAGAGCATTGGAGGTACTGTCTTAGGCATAGAACTTATGGCGAAGCAATAACATGCTTTCAATTATTAAAAATGGAGGAAAGGACATTTAGAATTCATACAATGTTTTAAAGGTATTGTCATTTTCATCAGTATTTTCTCTCTCTCTCTCTCTCTCTGTGTGTGTGTGTGTGTGTGTGTGTGTGTGCGCGCGCGCGTGCACGCATGCATGCACAATGGAGTCTGGGTCTCACCCAGCAAGCCAGGTCGGTGAGATCCAGGGCTCCCCCTGTCTCTGCCACCTCAGCACAGGACAATGGAATAATTGCAAGCAGGCACCATTCCATCTGGAATTTTTTAGGGGTGCTAGAGATCAAATTTAGGTCCTCATGCTTGCACTGCAAGCACTGTTGGCACTGACCCACATCCCTAGTCCATTCATTGGTGGATTAAAAATTACTAAATTTTTAAGTGCCTTGTGTGGACTACAGGTAAACATTATTTAAACCTGCCCTGGTCATGTCAAAAAGATGGGAAAATCTTATTTGGATTCCAAACCTTGAGTTTTTCTAGGAAAACAAACAAACCAACAAAAACAGTGATAGACAAATTCAGATTACAGAAAGGCATCTTATAGTTAACATTCCCAGCAGCTGAAAAGGGTTTCCTGTAGGGGAATTGGAGATTTTAATGTAAATCAGTGACTGGTCAGGAAAGGACTCATAGTCATCTAAAGAGTTTATGGAAGTGTTGCTAGAAAGAAAGGCAAGATGGCCTACCATTTATTTCAATCTGAAAATATCTGTGACTTTATTATTGGACTTAAATATTACTAAGGAGAATACAATTTCACTAAGTGATTTTTATGGCATATCATTAAATCTGAAAAGTTTACAATTTATGATCTAAGTAAATGTAGTAATGAGGTACCTACGATTATTGATGGCATTTTGCCCCCTTTTGGAGGTATTTGTATGTCATAATATAGCATACATATATAATTTGTAATAAAATATTAAAGGTTATGACTCATGTTCTGCTATACAAAGATGTAAGTCTCATGTGATCAGGAAGCTTGAGATGAACTTTGCATTGGCAGTGTCAGACTTTCAGAGCTTTTCTGCTCCTGTGCAGTTATATACTAGATGCTTTCTTAATGCTAATATTTACCTCCTTTCTATCTCTTTGCTAATCTAAATGGCTTTCTTTTCACTTATACATTTGTTGATGGATCCATAAATGGTGGCATACTCCTTTTATAGCTAAAGATACCTTCCTTAGATTATCATATATGCTTAAAGCTGAAGTTGATTGCTTTTGATATGGATAGCTTTGAAACCTTTAATTTACTGGTTAATAAATGTTTATTCTTATATCAGATAAAAATCTTTGTCTTATAGAATGCCATCAACGTTTTTGTAAATGTTCTATTTAGACCAAGTCTCTAAATGAAATAATTATGATTCATATATATATATATATATATATATATATGAGCATATACACATATACTATACAAATATGATTTTTCAAATAGCATTTCTATAGAATTTATCAGTCTGTCCCACAATATTTCTGCCCAAATGTATACAAATGATTTATAAGACTTATATAGGGAAAAGTTATAGCCCTCACTGTGTTTCTGAATAAGCTACTTGGCCATGAGAGTGCCATCTGTCATGTCTGTGTCACCCCAGCAGAGCAGAGAGCACAGCCCACAGATGAGCTTGGGAAATTAATAGGAAAGGAAATGACCACATATTCAGCTGAAGCCCCATATTTTCCCTTAAGACCCAGGGAGCAGGTGGCCATAGGTTCTTCTGACTCATTAGCCCATGTTTATTAGATGTCATCAAACTCTTTGTATTGTACTCTTGCCTCAGAGATATAGAGAGGAAGAGATGAAGTGGCTGAAATCAGATCAGAAAGCTACCTTGGGCCTAAATGTGCTGTTATTGTGTGAACAGTAAGTTCATGCAATAAAAATTAAATAAAATTTGAAAACCATGTCAATTTAGCTGAATCAAACCACCCTCTAAATTCATTTACCTCTACCTATAGATCAGCACAGCTCTCATACCTCATCAAAAAAGTTCTGCAAATGATGGTTAATGCAGACACAACAGGTCAAAGCACAGAGAGTAAGTGTTAATGGAATTCAGTCGGAATAGAACATCTATATCAGACCCCCTTCTGAAGGCTCAGAAACCCTTGAGAAGAAGAGGTAGAAAGATTGTAAGATCTGGAGGTTGGGGTAAGGGGACCTGAGTAAAACAGTGTCTTCTGGACATGACAGAACTATTTTGATTATTAGCTCAGGAGAGTTATGATTGCTAAGATGCACACAGAATCAATCCAGCAATAGTCTAGCATGGAGTGGGAAGATCATCATGAGCCCCCACCCCTAACTGAGGATCTATGAGTAGTTGATGGCTTCTGGAGGAGGGAAAGGGTTTTCTTTTAAAGTATATTTCTTGGTGGATTGACTACTCTCCAGTGAATTACCCTATCCTCAGGAGTAGATGGGCAACACAAATCAGAGTCGATGAGTTACTAAAAAGAAAAAAAAAATGAGAGTAGGGGACAGCAGATATGTGAAGAATTCATGGAAGATTTGGAGGGTG